CACGACGAGCTGCTGTTCTGGTCTCGGAGCGAGACGCTGTCCCAGGTCTGTTCGCGGCAGTCGGCGACACGCTGTTCTCGGGTGTACAGGCAAGCCCAGGCGTTGACCACCGCACTGGGATGCCCCTGGCGGTTATCTTCTAGACCGGGCCCCGCCTCGGTACGAACTCCGCAAGCACAAGGCACACCGCCTCCTGACTACCAGAGAGCTCAAGGTGAAGAGCAACGTTCACGCCCCAAGAGTAGAATGTGAGTGGACGAAGAAGAACATTAACTCTCTTTCGCGTAGGACCGTGAACGCGTGTATATATGTGTGAGTTTATGTTGTGTGTATCCATTTGTCCGTCTTCGTGTGTATAAACGTCTCGCGTTGTCCTCGAACGTCCTCTGTCCTCATCTGGCTAATCTGCGCCCACAGTTGCCCACAATGACAAAGGCTGCGGAGGAGGTGTTTAGCGTGGTAGATCCGTTGGTGTACACGTGCAGAGAATCACTGCACGTTGTAAAAATGTGATAGGTCAGTTGTCTGAGGCCAACAGAAGAAATGAGTGACTTCTTCGTAATTCCAGGTATCGTAAAAGAAAGAGGTGGTTTGGGCAGGACCCATGAAGGCACTGCAGGGGCATTTGGTGGAGAAAACCTTGATGGTATAATATTTTTATGCCGCGATATTACTCTTGAGAAACTGCAATCTGGGTGAGTGGCGGGTAGTACTGACAGTGGGTGCTGTCTGTGTCTGCTCAGCAATCGGAGGTGAACTCTAAGTGGCTCGCAGAGCATGTATACACTGATAGGACAAACCAGAGCCTCTGCGATTGTCCCATTTGTTGAAGTACAGCACGGTAGACCCAAGCATCTTCGTAAGCATTGAGCTTGAACACTCTCTAGCGTCTTCACACAACTAGGTCTCATATTGGAGAGCACCGGCATGCTGTATCGAATGTATCCCACAAATAGAGCATTGTACAATTGAAGTAGCGATGATTCTGATGGGCCCCATCTTGCTCCTGCTACGGGGAGAAGAACGAGAGCAAAGCTCTTCAATTTAGATTTAAGTACTGCGACATACCTCGTCCACGATAGATCTCTGTGTACGACAACCCCAAGGAACTTGTGGTGCGTTACAGCAGGTATCGTTGTCCCATTAATAAATATCGGGTATTGTGACATATGCTTGCGCGTGAACGCAAGCACTGCGCATTTGTCGATTGAAAGAGTGAGCCCCTGACGTCGTAGATATTTGTACGTGATCGTCACAGCACGCTGTAGTTGAGCTCGCAATTGCGGACGAGTAGTTCAGGATGCCCATATGCATATGTCATCAGCGTATGCACTGATCTTCACTGTGCTAGGAAGTTCTGCTGCTAGGCCGATCATTGTGACATTTAATAGGATCGGGCTGAGAACTCCTCCTTGGGTAACACCACGATGAACCTTATATCGATCGGTGTCTCCATTATTTGTCGTCATGTAAATGGTGCGGTCCCTAAGGTAGCTAAAAATCCAAGTGTACAGTCGTCCACCGATGTCGAAAGCTTCCAGTGCGTCAAGGATCGCATAATGCAGCACATTATCGTAGGCACCCTTAATGTCTAAGAAGACCACCGCCACTAGTCTGCGTCAGCTTCTTTCCTCTTCAACGCTGGTGATCAAGTCGACCACACCATCAAAGGCAGATCGGCCTCTTCTGAAGCCGTTCATAAATGCGGGAAAGGAGTTGTTGCTCTCTAGAAGCCACGCTAATCTTAACAGTACCATTCTTTCTATCACTTTTCCGACGCAGCTGGCTAAGGCGATTGGTCTGTGGGAGGAAAGTGCATAAAGACACTTCCCCGGCTTAAGCAATGCAATAATGTGACTGCATTTCCAATTAGCTGGGACTTCTCCTGGCTCCCATGAGGTGTTATAATGAGATAACAGGATACGTCGTGCTTCTGTATCAAGATGGTTGAGTGCAGCATACGTGATTCCATCAGGTCCTGGTGCCGATGATCGGCGGGAGGCAGAAATCGCAGCGTCAGGCTCATGCATTGTAAAACGTGAGACGATGGAGGCCCAATGGTAGAAAGAGGCTCATTAGTGGCAAGACCATCAGTGGTGTCCACGATGAGGCTACAGTAGTCACTGGCTATCTCAACTTCTGTCCGTCCCTGATGTAGAGCAACAGCTTGAAATGGTTGACGTTGTTGGGGAGCTGTCTGCAAACTTCGTACCACCCGCCAGATCTTAGGTGGAGGTTGTCTGGGGTCCAGAGATCCACAGAAATTTCTCCAACGTGGCCTGTCAATCTTGTCAAGATGCCGAAGAACATGTCGTTGAGCTCGACGACAGGCGGAAAGGTCTGAAGGCGACTTCGTTCGTCTGTATCGGCGTTCGGCACGGCGACAGATTGCACGAAGGGCCTGGTATTGGGAGTCAACTACTGATCTCTGCATCGGTAGGTTAACCTGTTAGGTTGTGTCACCCAATGAAGAAGCAATGATGTTCTCTACCTCGGATGGATCAGTCGTGTGCTCACAGCCAGACTTGACAGATGCCTTGAACAGTGTCCAGTTGGTTGGACGGATGTAGCGTTTGTGCGTGCGGCGAAACCACCTGAACTGAACATAGGTTGCAAGGTGGTCACTGCCGCGAGTGTCCAAATCTGTGCACCAACATGCGGAAGACAGAAGGCTTCTGGAAATGAAACAGAGGTCGAGGAAGCTGCTGTAGGACGTGCCACGAACAAATGTAGGTGATCCGTCGTTGAGTACGCTTAGTCTATATTTGCATATAAAATTGGCCAAATCCCTTCCGCGATAATTCGTTGCAGTGCTACCCCAGAGAGGATGATGCGCATTAAAATCGCCGATCACAATGTGTGGCCTTTGTGCTGCTTGAAGAATCGTCCCCAGGTGGAAGCAGTCCATCTGTGCGCTTAGGTGTATGTATCCTCTTATTACTGAGAATGTCCGCTTTTTATGTGTTATAGTCAGGCTCACGTAATGATTGCTGGTATGCGACGCGACTTCATGTCTCAAGAACGTCAAATCACGGCGTATAGAAACGAGAACTTTGCTCGTACGTTGATCACTGCGGGACCAAATCTGGATATATCCAGATAAACGAAAAGTTGAAACCATATTCGGTTCCCATATAACGATAACAGGCAATGGATATTTAAAAACCCATTGTCTGAAGTCTGACAGACCGCCACGTAGGCCACGAGCATTCCATTGCATAACAAGCAACGGGCGCATGCGTTCTTCGAACATCAGTGCCATGTTCACTCACTGAAGAACCAGTAGAAGAGGCTCCAAAACCTCAAGTAGCTGCACAGCCACCTTAGCAGCGGGAGTGTTTAGGCTGCTGAGAATCTTACGCATTGAACCCATCAAAGTTTTAAGCATAACCTTGATATCTGCGTTGTCCATCTTCTTGTTTTCTTCATTGAGGATAGGGGCACTATGTGATGATGGCGCTATCGTAGCTCTTGACGGTAGTGAAGGCCACTGAGTCTCTGACGTGGGGCGAGCTAATGACTGGTTACATTGTACTTGCGTGGACTGTATTGGCATTTGAGCATCTGTATCCTCCTTTCTGGCCGACAAAAGTAGTCTAGGAGGTGGTGAGGGCACAGTTTTGTGTGTCTAATTCGATAAGCTATGAGCACTGCTGCTTCGGTTGCGTCGGTGACGCGAACAATGTTTACGGCGCCGTACAGCCCTTGCAGCTTCTCTGTGAGTGGAGTGGTCTCGAACCATCTTCTTCAGGATACTAATTTCATTCCTCATTTTGGGACATTCCTTTGATGTTGCGTCGTGGGCGCCTGAGCAGTTTGGGCATTTGGCCACAGCGTTGCAGTTATCACCATCATGAAGGCCACCGCAATGCTTGCAGGTTACTGCACCCATGCAAACTGCACTAACGTGCCCAAATTTCATGCATTTATGACATTGCAGAGGTTTTGGTACGTAATGGCGTACCGAGTGCCTCACGTACCCAACTTTTACATGTGTGGGTAATGTCTTCGACTGAAACACTACTTCAACACATCGCGTGCGTCCAAAGCGGTGGAAACCAAGCACGGGAGCCGACGATGACAGCAGTTTCTCGAGACTCGAGTCTGTTATCTCCTCATCCACATCGTATATAACTCATGTTGTCGTTTCTTCGTCGTACGCGGAGAATGCGCAAACCGGAATGTTTCCTAATCGAACAATCGCTTTCAGCGTGTCCAATAAAGCCTTCGTAGTGACCTCCACAGACAGTAGGTTCTTTCGAGTATTTATGCGCATTTCTACGACTTTCCCTGCAGCGATGAGCTCAAAGTACTCTGACAGGTTCTGCCTATTTAGAGAGTTCAAGATGTCTGTCTTCGATGTCGGCACATACGAAATGGTGTACGACCGCACGCTACTCGCCTTTGTCTGTGCTTGCCAGCCAGTCGGCGATGTCCGGCTGATTTTCCTCTTCAGGCGTCGGCTTGGTACGACCACGAAGTCGCTGTCCGAAGCCACATCTTCAACGGAGGAGTCATCAGAATTGTCAACGTGGACCACACTTGGGCTGGGGTAAGAACTTGCGTCAGACGCACTATGATGTGGTCAGCCCGGTCCCAGTTGCTGGATGGGGTTTTGATCCCCCATTCTACGGGGGAACGCCCCTCCGAGGTGTGTCGATTATTGAAAAATCTTGGCAAAAGAATTAGAAAACTCACAGAGCTTGAAGCAGAGGCTGTTCTCTGTGACTTCTTCTCCCTCCGGTAGTGGGTTTGATTGGGACGCTGAGAATAGTTGCTGGAACGTGGATGAAGTGTGATAACTGAACGGCACTTTCTTATGAACACAGCGACAACCCATGAACACTAACTACAAAAAGTGGAAAATGAGGGGGGCAGGATGCCTTATTCGAATACTTGTAAGTCAGCCTGTTGAACACGGTTAAAGAACTAACTTTGCCGCCAATTTTGCTTTTTTTATGCTAACAAACAAAATGCATGTCAATAAAGAGGAAACCAAGTTGCAAATGAATCTGAAAGCACGCTGCATTTATTGCATAACGTCAGGCCAAGAAAGGTAAGAAAATTGTTCCCAGGACACTGAGAAGCACGCATGTATTTACTACATCCCCTCATCTTATCGTAGCATTTGTTCTCTACACAGTTTGCTGAAAGAAGGGGCTGCAGGTGGCTTCGTCGTATGAGAGTTTTGAGTCACTACAGTATTCTTCGAATTCATCCGTGCAGGCTTTCGGTACGTTGTTCTTTACTTCCCAAGATATCCATAACATGCATTCTGTGGATCCGAAAAGATTATTTTGCACATTGAGATAAGAAAATGCACTACGTAGAGACACACTGGAGAAGCATGATTGATATCTGTATCTCTACAATTTATTTTTTTTCTATTCGACGAAAAACGTTGAAAATTTCTTGTGCAGAGTGAACTAGTCTTCACCTTCAAACGAAATGTGATACTACAGTTGTTATCAATGATAATAGTTTTAATAAAAATCACTAGAATACTTTTGAAGCTTCGTGTTATTGTGCTCTCATGACGGCACAATATCTTTGCAACGCGTATGCTTGTAAGGTTTAATTGACATGAACTAAGTCCCACTAGAAGTACTGGCTCGATAAGCGTATGGTGGCTAAGCCGACGTAAGCTTCTTAGCTAAAGGCACCAACAAAGGAAAGAATAGTGAAAAAGACTAACAAAAGCTTCATTGAAGCTATTTTGTTTTGTTGCTGTGCACTCGCGGTAGAATCTTAGTACCGATTGTTCAGTGTCCAAAATTTTGTTTTATGATTTATGTCTACTTCTTCATATTTATCTGTTGGTTCTTTTGGTTTTCTGTAGCTGTGACTCGACAGTGAAGCACGGTGTTAGGATCCGGGCTGTCATCTGGCGGACAGGGATTTCATGTAGTAGCATCCCTAGTAAACAATTACAAACTCCGAAACATCGTACGCTCAGTGAATGGAGCAATAGGTTTTCCTGCCCATGTTTTTTACAAAGTTTATGAAGCCTAAATGTGTAAGGCCTGTTCAATTGTTTTTTTCTCATTCTTTTTCTTTTACGCTAGCTTTTATTCATTCATTAAACTTCCACAGTAACTAACGGTTCAATTCGTCACAGTAATCAGCCCGTCATTTACATTCCTAATCAGGTCCAATGTAAAGACCCAGCTATAGCAAGCGAACTAGATGGAGTGTCTAGTTTTCTGCCTATAGTCTAGTATTTCATAAATGACCTCATTGACAGTGCATGTGAAGTTCGTCCTCATTTCTTTAACTGTTCAAGGCGTACTGTCTGCAGCGAGAAAATGTGCAGCTCCTAACAACTACTTACAAGGTCGTAATAAATACATCAGCTGGCCTGTACTCTGCTGCCAGTATTTAGCAGTTTGACCACAAAGAGAGAGATAATGTTTATAGAACTAAATTTGTGCCAAACATGAGCCATTTGTGGTTGATGTCCATATCATCATAGTGGAGTCATTATCTCACCTTGTGAGCTGCCGTAAGGTAATTCTATAAGGACACAGTTCTTATAGTCAGAGTAGATGCATCTGCCAGTTTGAAGAGGCTTTTCATCTGCAAAAACGTGCACCCTTAGTAATTGGTATAGTTATTAGAAATAAAATGCAATGGTGCTCCACAATGACCCGTAAGAAAGTCGTAATGCACTTTGTATAGGCCAGGAAGCATTCGGCGCACCCACTTACCAAAGGCCCGCACGCATTACAAAACACCGAGGTCGTGAGGACACAAAGTCAGTAGTTTTTAGGCCACAGTCAGATAAGAAATTCATTACCATAATTTTGTTGTAATCAGTTAAGAGCATTAAACGATGCTCTGTAAATCTGCAGTGCTCTTTTTAAAAAAGATTATCAATCATAGTGTTGACTAATCTAGCCATCTCAGTTCGAGTCAAACTTATCGAGAGAAGGTATAAAGTTTAATTCACTTAAACGTGGTTCCCAAGATATTGTCCATGTAATGCTGTTTCTACAGCTTATTACGTGGTGTTGTCGAAAAAAGTTAACACGATGATGGGATGAGCAATCTGTTTTTTTTACATGACAACTTCCTTGCAATGCAATCAAAAAGTTTCAAGTCACACCTTTTTCCTTCGGGTGAACATATAAAATAACACTGTCGATGCGAAAGTGGTCTCTTTATGCTCGTCGTTCTTCCATCTGTGGTCTACAACTCAATTGCAATTGCTAAAGCAACTGAATTGCTTCAAGTCATTTCTACATTGTAGCTTGAAGCGTGAACTATTTTAGTAAAAACCACGAAAAATTCCCACTATGTTATTTGCATTAGTCACGCACCCAATGAAGAAAAATCATGACTTCTGCAGAAAAGTGAAGTTAGTTACTACGCGAATATTCGTCTTTTTTTAGATAAGCGCGGTACCCAGTACACATCTGTAAAATAGTGCTACATAGCTGACATATATCGACAATCAGACATTACGTGCAAGCAAGACGACAAAGTAGAGGGCTAATCTGTCCGCTGTGCGTGCTGTCCTCCATCTTCGCTGGTGCTTTATGCATCAGCGTAACTGTAGCTTGTAAATGGCCACCCTTTGAGTCCTTTAGGTAGCGTCTTTGCGGTACAGATGCTGGTTGTTTTCTGTATCCACCACGAAGCTTCGCACTGTATCACCATCGGTCCGACCATGTGGCAAGTTTAAGAGACATTGTCTTAACGATTTGCCCTTCCCGTGGCGTCTACCTACATCGTTATATCTTCTGCTCATGATCGTGGTATATTTTTCTGCCAGGGTGACGTTGACATCGACAAATGGATCAACCGTTATGAACAGGTTAGCGCCAGCTATAGGTTAGACCTGACCCTTCTGCTTGCCAATGTGCCCTTCTCCCTCTTCTATGGCTCACCGTGCGTGTGGTTTGAGACGCACGAAGCGGAGCTCTTATTAGCTAGAACTCTTTTGGAGAGAAGATACGTGACCTTTTTAGTAACAGTACTGGACGGCAGATGGTTGCGAGTAATCAATTGGCAGTTCGTGTGCAGACATCTATCGATGTCGCACGTCACGTACATCCACGACGTCATCGCCTTATGCCGTGTTACGAGGCGCGACGCCAACACTCCCGAAGGCGCCACTGCTCCGAAACTCGCCGCCAAGGTCACCAGCTGTTGGGTAGCGTGTGTTTCTCAGCTCACGACTGCTTCTGCGCAGATCTGATAGACTAGCGGACAAGAATGCGGTGAGTTAAGGCAAGACTTATGTACAGCATAGAAATAGAGGTGTTACACATTCGGCACTGGGGCTGACAGTTTAGGGACTCGAACAGCCGAGATGCCTTCTCTCTGACGCATACGTCGGCTGCTCTCTGACGCATAGGTCAGCTGCTGGCGACACGCTGTTTAGCTTTTTTTATAGGCACCGGGTGGACCTTTGCGTCACCAACGTCCAACGAGAAGCGCCGCTGGCGGTGATGTCAAAATCCTCCAATGGGGACCCACCGCTGGGCTACGTCATGATCCTCAAAACCGGAGCCGCTGCGCTGGGTTGCACCCAAGGATGAGTGATGTTGCCACGCATTGCGTAAGATTCGCTAGACTGGTAGGTGCCGATTGCTTCATCGGGCACATCGGCTGAGGAAGCGCGCTGTGCGTTGCGTAAGACAGACCGGCGCCGCCACTTGATAACGCGGTTGAGTTGATCGCGTCAGGCAGGCTCAATCGCTGGCCTTGATACAGATTGCCTTTCCAGAGGCATTGACGATCGGTGTGGAATCCCACGCGTAACAGCCGCCAGAATGACGAGCACATACGTGAGTCTGAGATAGTATCCCATGTGATGAAAGGCATAGTGGTCGATGCCTCTAGTCATTTCGTCTATAATAACTTCGGCACTGTCGACATAATAGTAAGAGTGCCGGCGGTTTGAAGAAGCCAGGATCGCTGTATAACAGAGCGATTCACAAGGCTGCCCAACAAAGCCGCAACCTCATCGTGTGAAGCCGCCGGCCAGCCGCCCACGTATGCCGTCACGAGCATTGCTCGTCGGGATATCAAAGCCGTCTGTCCTGTTCCTATCCAGCCGTCCGTTATCACAACGCATGACTCTCACCCACAGCAGCCGTCGGTAGCGTTTATTTAAGCTGTAATGTAACAGAAGCATGCAAACCTTGGCCTTCTGGCAGCGTGTTTTTTTTTGCTCGTTCAGCCTTTTTCCACTGGACACGCTCACCGATATCCTCTTACGATGACCTTCCGCAGCCCATCGAAATGGTGAGCACCTGACGAACAACATAGCTGTCTTTCCTGCCACGACGCAGGGAACGTTTCCCGCTATTTCCGCCTGCATTGGTCAAACCCACCACGCCGCGCCTTCCCTACTCCTGCCTACATGCACCCTACGACCCCTAGATGTCCAGCCACTCCGCCATCCACTCCTCGGCATCTCACGAACCTCTTCCCCTGACGCCCCTTCACCAGTTCACAGCTACTCCCGCTCCCCGTCGCCGGAATGCCGTCAGGCCGGCTCTACATAGCCTCGGCGTTTTTCCTCCCTGACCTTGTGTGCATAAATTCATCAGCGAGGCAAATCTGCGATACCAAAGACGCTTGGAAATCTCCTACTGACGCTTCCCACACAACGCAGTCTCCTATAAGTGCAAGTCGACCATGTTCCTGCATGGGACCGCCCTCATTGACACATGCGCGCACCTGTCGATTATGAGCGCTCCACTTCGCCACCTGCAAAAATTATGACGCTGTCTCCAACGCAGGCATTGCGTGTGGCCCATTGCAGAAGTAATCAGAATGCACACTGCTCATGTCAGCGTTGCCAGTCACCTCACCGTGGTCCTTTTTGCCGTTCTAGCTTGTTGCACTATGGACCTCATATTTGTTCTTGATTTCCTTTAGGTACACTTGGCCTTAATAGACAGTTCTGTTGTTATGTACATTCAGACTCGGTTTTCTATTCCTCGCCTATTACTCGGAAAAGCCTGTGACTTTGTGGATGTGGATTGTGGCTCATGACGATGAAATGGCAGCACGCATTCCTGGATACGTTAAGGAAATGAATTATGAATAATAGATTCAGTGACTGGTTAGTAATACAGATCTTCGCGAGACCGAACAGAAGACCCACACCAACAGGAACAAAACAACCATCTGGTTTTGTTCATGCTCAGTAGTTGAAATGTGTATCAGCTCACGCAAACCCTCCTCGCGTATACCCGCATATGCAGCGCCAGGGCAGTTGCGTGGTATGTTGTCATTACTTTAGTGATGCTACACAGTATTGATCTGTGCTGTTAACTATGTTCTGTTCTATTACCAACAATAATTGCAAGAGAAGTTCAAAGAAATGGTTTGGTGCTGAAATGATTGCAGCAGAATACTGCTATTGCACAAAACTGATACACAGCCCTCCGCAAGTACCCACAATCACACACAAAGATACAGCGAGCTTTTATCACGTTAGATTAGTATATTCACCATTCTTGTCCTTGAACAAAAACTCATCAGGGGCATCGCCACGGCGGACATAATAGGATATGTTTTTCCTGCGGTGATTTGAAAAACGAAAAAGGTGTGTTACAGAACAGACGATAGAGCACTCTGACCCTTCACACGAGCATGTGCATGACCACTTTTTGGAGACATGTGCACGTAGCGCCATCTCTCGTATGCTACAGCGGTGACCTACTGCAATTGAATAGAAAATAGACGAAAAAAAAATCATATCTGAGGAAAGAAGCTAGTTATCAAACACGAATCCCGGTTTTATACAGCAAAGACTTACTTCAACAGTCTTGCAAAGTTACAGTGCCGCACTACAAACGTCATGACTTTCCACGGTGTTTACTATTGAAGAATGAAATGCAATCTGTTTCTTTGGCCGGTTTTCAATTGTCCTGGGAAGCTAGATGCTTTGTAGTGTGGTACTGCAACTTTACCAAGATGTACCAGTAGGCCTCTGCTATATATAAACCGGAGTCGTTTTCGATAACTAGCTTTTTTTAGAGACACGATTTTTTTCATTTATTTTTCTGTTGAGTTAAGGAAGGTTTTTCTTTCTCCTGCCGGTAGATGGCGCCACGGGCATATGTCTCCAATACCTTGGAATGAGCAAATATAACTTCACAAATTTGTCTGATTCGCTTTCCCCTTCAACTGAATGGTGTTTCAAATGAACCGATGAGGATAACGATAGTTATAGCGTGAGAACATAACGACGACAAAGTGACAAGAAGGACACAAGGACACTCTTTGTACACGCTTTGTCGTCGTTCTGTTCTCGCGCTATAACTACCGTCATGTCATACGAACTAACCCAAACTATCACACTTCTAAAACCTATGAGCTTTTGTATTATGACACGCCATATTGACTTGCATAATGTGTCAGAACAATGCCCCGTTCATGAGCTTATTTTTAGTACAACGACTTACCCCTAGTTAACGTACGGTTGAATCGATAAGTTATAAATAATATTCCTTAATAGAGCATAGCACTGCCAAGCGTTGGCAAAAGGCTCCTGAGTAATCGATAATGATTACTATGCTATGCGGTAACTGGGGAATAAATAAGGACATGAACAATGAAAACGGGTTGTCAATCTATCAGACATTGTCAATATCACCCCGGCTATGCAAAGATAAAGGTGCCACGTGACTGAATTTTCTCGAAAAAACATTACGGCCTCTTGGTAAAACTCTAAATGCTTTCAGCAACCATCCAGCAGTAGTCATTGTTGCAAACGCTGAATCACTTAAAGAAGTAACCATGACTGAAAGACATAAAAGTTGTTCTTCAAGTCGCTTTTAATATGCAACCCATTTACTAGAAGGCAGTGAGATCCAACAAAGTGAAGATAAAAAACTACGGCTACCAAACAAATATTCCTGAGAGGAACATTGTATGTGATTTGAAATTTTTAGGTTTCGACGTGGTTCCTGATGTTCCAGCTCTCCAACAAACGCGTAGATAGGATGTCGAAGGGCCGCCTTCGGTACCCCAAGAAAAAAAGAAATCGTGTATCCCCTAAGCGTTGTTAGAATTACGTATAGTAAATCACTAAAAATATGTTTCTTCGCATTTTTCAAACAAATGGATGAATAATCACAGCACTCGAACAACGCGAAGATTCCAATACTATCCAAAATAACAGGTGCCAAAGACTTTCTCACGGTTATTTGCTGACACGCAGTTCACAATCTTTTCAGTTTCTGAGGTGGCACTTCAGAAGCTGTAAGGATTTCTACCTGGCACACGTAAATATGCAAATCATTGCATTCAATTTGCACAGTACCAACCAGGTTGAACCCTGCATGATACATCAATAGACTGCTCGACTAAAGTCAATCATACGCTTCGTGTCCGTTCACGCCTTTGAGGATCCACACGTATGTTACGCTCGGTACACTTTCGTCGTAATCTTCTTGTACTGCAGAGACACAGTCAAGGTCACCATCTTGGTCTACGTCGAATAGCGCTACGCCACTGCGGAATCCCTGAAAGACCTGCAAGTGAAAGCGAATGCTGCAGCAACCACATGATATACAACCTGCAGCAAATAAACCGTCCATTCAAATATTGTGGCACATCTAATGCGAGTTAGGCCCCAAGCAGTCCAAACACACCATGGTCTCACTATGGGATATCTAGCCAAACTTCGTCCATAGTGAGAAATCAGGGACACGTTCATGCAAACACAAAATGTTGCATTGAGCCTCAAAGTAGGACACACGCTAGTAGCTAACATAACATAAAGGCATGCCTCATCATCATCATCATCATCATTATCATCATCATCATCATCAGCCTGATTACGCCCACTGCAAGGCAAAGGCCCCTCCCATGATCAGCCAACCAACCCGGTCTTGTGCTTTCTGCTACCAAGTTATACCTGCGAACTTTTTAATCCGATTGGCCCACTTAACACTATGTCTCCCCTTCGTGCGTTTGCCTTCTCTGGGAATCCATTCAGTCACCTTTAATGGCCAGTGGTTATCCTGCCTACGCGTAACGTGCCTAGCCCATGTTCATTTCTTCTTGATTTCGACTATGATACACCGGTTTGTTCCGTGTTCAACTCTGCTCTCTTCTTGTATCTTAAAGTTACATCTATCATTTTCCTTTCCACTGGTCGCTGTGTCATTCTCAATTGAGGCTGAAACCTTTTTCTAAGCCTCCAGGTTTCTGCGCCGTAGCCAATGTTACGTTCGGCCCAGCCAGTTCGTCTCAGCAGATGCCATTTTGCGTAAGCCGGTCTGCTAGAATGTTTTCAGCCCTATCGCCGTCTGGTCAGACGTACCACGCACGACGCTGTCCTGTAGTTGTTCCAGGCAGTTCACTGTGGTCGGGTCACAACTGCCTCGACGAAAGCTTCGTGAAACAAACCTTCTGTTCAACAGGGCCGAACAACGTAAGATAGCGCCACTGTTGCAGTTCCATGGGGTCAACATCTCGACTCGGCTATTGTCGCCCACGCGAGGTCGTCACAAAGCACTGACAGTGCGGAAGCGTGGGAAAGCGTCGCAGTAGCCGTTCTCAGGGATTGAGCACTTGGATGGCCTTGTTCGAGAAACTTCTGGGACGCTGTAGCAGAACGAAGCCATGGACCACTGCTGCCGTTCGTATCAGCGGCCATCTCCCTGGAAGAGCTCAACTTTTCCCCTCCACCGGACTCTACCTCCTCGCCCTTCAATATCTCCGAGACGTGGGCTGGGTGCGTCATTGTGTCGTGCGCTCGTGCTACCCATTGGACATTTTCGCCCATGTTCCTCGCCAGCCGAGTGGTCCAATATCTGCACCCTTTCTGGTGGGTGGATCACTGAGGCTTAACGTTACCTGATTTGTGGCAACAGTGGTCATTGCCTTCTTCAGTCTGTCGAGCAAGGAATCGATGGGCTATAAAAGCCGAACACATTCTGTACATAATGCTGAATCTCTGTACAGTATTCTCTCATCCATCATGTAAATAAACCTTCGTTCTATCTCCAAGAACGCGTCCCTTCAATGGCGAGCATCGGCTATCTGGACGACAGCGGGGAGCCAGCTACCCTAAAGAAACACGCCACCCCTGCCATTGACCTTCTTACCCGTTATAAAGAGTACCGACAAAGGGAAGCCGTTATATACTTTCCTCTTGAGGGTTAGTCGCATATTACTATTCATGATTTCAGAATGTTTGCCGAATGTGATTCACCCCATTCATACCCATCTACTTATTTCACTCTCATAATTCGGCTCTGCGGTTACTACCGCCCTAAGTAAACGTATTCCTTGGCAAATTCCAGCGTCTCTCCACCTTTGGCAAAGAGTTGTTTTCTGCCGAGACTGTTGCACATTACTTTAGCTTTGCCGATATTATTTTCAGACCTACTATTGTGCCTTCTATGCCCAGCTCAGTAATCATGAGCTGTAATTCACCCCCTGAATCCCTGATCAAGCCAATGTCATCAGCTAATCACAGGTTACTAAGATATCCTCTATTAACTCTTATCCCTAACTGTTACCAATCTACAGCCCTGAAAACCTCCGGTAAACACGCGGTGACTAACATTGGAAAGATTGTGTCTCCCTGCCTTACACCCTTTTTATTGGGATTCTATCGATTTCTTTATGGAGAAGTATGGTGGCTGTGGATCCACTGTAAATTTATTCCGGCATGTTTATGTAGGGTTCACCGATGGCTTGATTCCGTAGTGCTTGTATTAATGCTAATGTCTCGACATAGTCAATTGCCTTCTCGTAATACATGCCTTCATGTGCCTTCAGGCTTGAATTGCTCACGTCGGCTTCTCGTAACTGCTTTACCATGACCTTTGGTGGCATGGTTCCATTGTTTACTGTTTTAGAGCAGCTCAATTAAAGTCACATAATGCCATTTGAGAAGTACGCCTACAACACGGCTCCTCCGGATGAAGAAGGGGATATCCTTACGTTTACCTAAATTGCTGAGTATCTTGCAGGCGCACTATCTTTCCTTGCCGTTGTACATCCTAAGATTACACATCAGCTACCGAAGAGAGACAATGCTGACATGCGGACTAGACTAAGTTTTTCAGGTTGATCGCCTTGGTTCAGGTTGATCGACTAAGTTTTTCAGGTTGATCGTTTCAGGTTGAGTGCCTGTTACATAGGTTGTCTCTAACTTAACCTTACCTAGTTAAGCACTAGTTGAAATGAAAAATTAAATAAATGAAAAAATCACCAATTTAAGCTAACGTAGTGCTGACGGTGGCTCACCTTTGCCAGATCCGGTCTTTCGCGCTGAAGCTGGTGCTCAGCTTTACCCAGGACCAGAAGCAAAGCTAAAACTCGAAAAGTAAGGCTCACTACCCTAAAAACTTGCTGCATCTTTAGAACTTGAATAGTGTTTAAAGTTGGAAAGCTTCTGTCTGCAATCGGTGAAAAACAGCCTTTGCACTGCTCGCTTCGGCATTTTACATTGCCTTTTATTAGCTTTGTCAGAGAACCAAACTATTTTCAAGTCAATCACTGCCATGTACCATATCACAGAAATTAATTCATTTTTTTGAAAGCTGCTTCGTTTCAATCTGTATGAGAGTTCAAGAGGTTCAACTTCATAAGAGAACTAAAGTTTTACAAGGAATGACCAACATCAAGTTGTGGTGCAATTTTCGTCACTGTCAAAGCGAAAATAATTGTTTACAAAGAGAACCTGAAACAAAGGATTGCCCAGAGGGACACTTTTTCCGTGATGGCACTATAACACAAGTGTCGTATGACAAACTTTTCCTATATGGTGTTCCCACACCTGCGACTGCAGAGCACTGAACTCGTGTACGTACGTGTCTCGACGCACGGCATCAACGGGTAGCACAAGTGCCGTACTAATAACTATTTCACGCATAAAATGTCTTGCCCTAGCAAGATTGAAAAGCCTTTGGTTCAATGAGAACGTAGGGTAGTATTTATTTTTTCCATCAGAAGGGTCAATCCACTCCTAAATTACTTGGCGCTATTCACATTTCCCATGCTCAAAAATACAAGGTTACCACAAAATACAATGAAGAACGTACATCCTCGTGAATTCTAACGTCAAACCACTCATATACATCATATACCATTTGTCTACCCTCAGAACTCAGTATTTTCAGTGCGTTTTGGTCATCAGTAAAGAAACGGGCACGCTCTCAAGAGCGTTGCTTCTAGCATATCACGTTTCGTTGAGTGCCACCTCCACGGAGCGTAGTCCTTTCTGCGTGCACTTACCAGAGTCGTGTTTCGGGAGAGCACGAAGGTCACTTCACTCGCTGCCACGGCCGCATATAAGAAAGCTGCACGCTGCGCACACACTAAGAATTGTGACAGTTTTTCGATCTTCTCCTGTATGTACTTGTGCGTTCGTTTTACACGCCTTTCTTTTTGCACAGTGTTCTTTAGGCGTCAATCTAAGACAGTTGTTAGCCGTCGCTCCTCCTGTGTATGCTGATTTTATGTGTGCTTTCTGCGTGGGGTGCGCGCTGCTAGTTTCGAGCTGGTAATTGTTCTTTACGTGACTGCAGTTTATTGCAGAAGCATTCATCTCTTCGTCATTGTGGTTAAATAATGATGCAATAAACGCTTAACTACCTCTGTGAAGCCACATTTCACTTTCGTGTTATACAGATTCCTGGGAAGAGGGATAAGTGATGTTTTAAATGCGAAGCGTTTCTTACCGAATATCGGCGCCTTTGAGCGTATCTATCTATCTATCTATCTATCTATCTATCTATCTATCTATCTATCTATCTATCTATCTATCTATCTATCTGACCGCTTACGCTTGGGTGCTCTCGTGGTCACGCCCTTAACTTGATGTGAATCAAAATTAGCATGGGAGGGTAAGATGGTTTGAGAAATACGACGCACTGGCCAAGACATGATCTTCCCGAGTAAGCTGTGTCAATGGCCATGCGATGCGCGAAAAATTAGCAATAAACCGCCGGTAATAGGCACAGAGTCCTAAAAAACGTCGCACTGATTTTTTGTCTGATTGCGTCGGGAAGTTTGCCACGGCGGCAATTTTATCCGGGTCGGGTCGGATCCCTTGGCTGCTCACGACGTGACCGAGTAATTGAAGTTCGTGGAAGCCGAAGTGGCACTTTTCTGGTTTTAGAGTAGGACCGGCCAAGCGTATTGCTTCAAAAACTGCTTGTAGCCTTCGTAAGTGTTCCTCGAAAGTCGCCGAAAAGACAATTACGTCGTCGAGGTACACCAAGCAGGTTTGCCACTTAAGTCCCGACAGAACCGTGTCCATGAGACGCTGGAATGATGCTGGCGCCGAACGCAAACCGAAAGGAAGAACCTAAAATTCATAAAGTCCGTCGGGCGTAACAAAGGTGGTCTTCTCACGATTTCTCTCACCCAGTTCAATTTGCCAGTAGCCGCTTTTTAAGTCCATAGACGAAAAGTAGCGTGCGTTTCGTAGTCTATCCAATGAATCATCAATACACGGCAGAGGGTAGACGTCCTTTTTTGTGATCTGATTAAGCTTACGGTAGTCGACACAGAAACGCGAGCTACCGTCCTTCTTTTTTACGAGTACTACAGGTGATGCCCAAGGACTGTTAGATGGCCGAATAACACCATCTTCTAGCATCGTTTTCACCTGTTTTTGAATTGCCTCACGCTCCTTTGGGGCGACTCGATAAGGATATTGCCGGATGGGTCTGGCATCGGAATCCGTGATGATGCGGTGTTTCGTCAGTGCCATTTGACCAACTCTTGGTGTGGATGAGAAGAAGCCGTGGAACTTGTTGATCAGCGTGAGAAGGCGGTCTCGCTCAATGGGAGATAACATTGGACCCACGTCGACAGGTGTCGGTGCAGTGATAGTAGACGCTGCTGCTTCCTCCACTAAATGACAATCTTCTGTTTGCGATAGTTTGTCAAAATAGGCAATAGCCGGGCCTTTAACTATTTGTCGGCGTTCTCCGCTGAAATTTGTCAATAGCAGTTCAGCGCATCCGTCAATAACAGTGATCACAGCCCTGGCAACAGAAATGCCGCTAGTGAATGCGAGCTCCTTGATGTGTTCAGCGATGCCAGTACCATTTGTAATTTGTCACAGTGCACGGATACGAGCGAACAACTTCGTGGCGGCAGTATGACGTCGTCATCGGCAATACGGAAGCGAGGTGGCTGGTGTTCCTTATCTGTAGCAGTCTCCGAGCTTACAGTGAACGTTACGCTTCTGTCATGGATGTCAATCACAGCCCCGTATTCGCGCAAGAACTCCATTCCCAATATGAGCTGTTTACAGCACTCGTGGAGAAAGACGATGGTGGCGACAAAGGTGGAACCAGCAATGAAGAGTCGGGCCGTGCACTTTCCAACTGGTGTCATCAACTGACCTCCTGCAGTTCTTATATTGGGTCCCTGCCATGACATTTTCACCTTCCTTTGTCTTTCTGCTAGCTGTAGGCTTATTATAGAAAAGTGGGAGCCACTGTCTACAAGAGCCGTCACTTGGTGGCCGTCAATGTGAACGACGAGGTCAGCGCTGATAACGTCGGTTACGTCGGAAGTTGTCTCATTCGTCGAATTAGTCGTTGCTGTCGTCTTCTTCGGTATTGATGGCTTCGAGCAGTCATTTGTCTGCAATGGGGGCTGTTCGGAATTTCGAATATTGGCAACCCCACCCCCCGAGGTCGCTGCGTCTAGTTTCCCCGTCGCGGGCTAGGGGACCTGCCCCTGGTGACGTCGGCAAAACTGCAACGATTAGGTGAACTGGGCCACGCGGGAGATGGAGAACGTGACCTGGGCATTACTGGATTCTGCGGCGGTGTGTTCACATGGGCGTAGTTGTACATGCGTTGATCGTCGTACGCAATGTAATCAGGGTAGCGAGGAAATCTCGAGTACTGAGCGTCGCGATAACGGCAAACTCTGTAGACGTGCCCAGCTCCGCCACAATGAAAGCATACCGGTCGACGGTCAGCGGTACGCCACAAATCGGTTTTCCGACGCTGGTAGATAAGTGGAGACCCACTATTGGGCCACGTTGTGGGGCCACGTTGTCGGGCATGTTGGTTATACGGCATTCGTCTTGTCGGAGGAATCGGTGAGGTTGGGAAAGTCGTCGGCGGTGACAGCAGCTGTGTTTGCAGGGTTGGTGGTGGTCCAGTCATTGGAGTCTGCTGTGCTGAAGGCGCGACGACGGGGCGTCGGACTGCATCAGCGTAAGTAAAATGTCGTCGCACACCATTATAGCCGGATGAAGAGAGAGCCTGGCGGATCTCATCTCGGACAACATCAGCGACAAAAGACAATGCCGGCGTTGGTTCAGTTGCTGGAATGAAACCAAGCTGCCGAAGCTCCTCCCTCAAAATCTCCCGGATGACTTCCCGCAGAGGCCTGTCGTTGTCGCAGAGGCTCGCCGCAGTCGTAACAGGGCTACTCGCTCGAACGTTGACCGGATTCTGCTGGTGGTACCGTTGCTGCAGGGCCCGTTCTATAGCTGTGGCTTCTTTCGTGAACTCAGCTACTGTTGTTGGCGGATTTCTCACAAGCCCAGCAAACAGTTGCTCCTTCACGCCTCGCATTAGATACCGCAGCTTCCTGTCTTCCAGCATCTCGGGATCCGCCCTGCTGAAAAGACGGGTCATGTCCTCGGCGAACATAGCGACGCTCTCGTTTGGTTTTTAAATTCGAGCTTGCAAGAGACGTTGTGCATTCTCCTTTCTGTCAAGACTACTAAAGGTGTCAATCAGCTGGTTGCGGAAGTCATCCCACGTAGCCATGCTTCTTTCCCTGTTGATGTACCACGTCTGGGCGTTGTCTTTCAGGTAGAAGTACACATTCGCGAGCTTGTCTTCTGGGGTGGCCCACTGGTTGTACTTCGCGCATCGTTCGAACTGGTCCAGCCAGTCTTATGCATCTTCATAGGTCTCACCATGAAAGCAGTCAGGAATCATGGGATTATGAAGTGTCATGTGCGATGTAGCTGCAGTGGCCATGGTGGTTGAAGGAGGCAAGCGATTGCTGGCAGTTTCTGGAAAGGGATTGAGCTTGGGAGCTAGGCCTCGCAGACGGCGGCTGGAATGGTGGACTGGTGTGTCGACGGGTGGTAGTGATTCCGGGCTTGAATGTCGGGTCCGCGAAGGGGTGCCAAGCATGAAGACGTACCCAGCACCTCCACTAGTGTGACGACGCGAGATTGACGAGCACACAAAGCGCCTCAAACAAATACGATTTATCGATCGCAGGAAACAGACTGCAACGACTTCTTTGTCTTTTGAAGATGATGATGATGATGATGATGATGAACCTTCGGCTTTGCTGGCACTCGCCCACAAAGGGGGATTGGCCAAGAACCGGGCGGCAGGATCATCAAGTGTGTTCAGTCAGGCATTCAGGAAGTCTCGTAGCCGTAAATAATAACAATAGGCTAACATGGTAATCTCTTTGT